CTGGTCATGTCTAAATCCTCTACTCCGAGTGGCTCCCAGGACCTTATATAGGGTGGACCTGTACTTAATATCAGGAAGTGGCAGCTGAAGTTTCTGGGAAACATAATGAGGAAGAAGGGCCCGGAGAATCGGATACTCACGGGTCGAATGGGAAAGAGAGACAAGGGTAAACAACGCGTGACATACAAGGCGGACTTAAGGAAGTAGATGACAGAACGTGAAGGAAGCAGAGGGAAGGAACTTGTTGAGAGCTGCAAGGGATAGAGGGAGGTGGAGAGCCATGATCGACTACGTCTTGAAAGGACATTGCACATAAAAAGAAAGCAATGCATTTAAACAACAGAAATATGATGAAAGAAACACTTGTCGAAAATTTGAAATAATTAGCAATGGTATTGATAAAATAGCCGTCTCTAAACAGGAAACATTGACCTAACTGTCTAACGAAATTCATTAAATCGTTTTTATTGAAACAATTTTATTTCTGAAAATTAGACTTCTCAAGTCCGATAAATATATTTCTTTCTAATATTGATAGATATTCTCAAACGTTTTGTTTTTGGTAGTGTAGACATAATCATCATTATGTCATTATTTTCTCTTCTCGTTACACGCGCTAACCATTTTTCGCGACTGGAATTGTCCAAAAAATATGGCTTTCGTTCATTAGTAACTTTCTTTGATATTTAGCACCATTTTATAAGGTGTGATCGGCTTTAATTCGTTTGAAGCTATTTTAAACATTGATCTGAGAAAATGATTGTATACAGCCCGTTGCAAAATGTTAAAACGTAGTTGTTTCCCTTGTGTTAAAAAAAAAATGTAACTCTCGCGGAGAGAAGGAGAGGATAGTCAAAAACAATTCCAATTGATATTTGGTCATTTTATTACCACTAGGAGTCAGGGGTAGATAAATACGCGTTTCTAGAGATTGTCCTTTCTTATTTAGCAGATGAATGAGGGAACAAATTACCACAAAAACTTATTTCTTGGAGTCATGGATTTTTTCTAATTCTTTTTCGACGACATCAAAGGTAAATGAATATTTTTATAATTTCTGTATCTTTTCCACAATTTTACAATATCATGTATACGAAAAATATGGCGGAAGTTCTTTCTGACTGAAGCACCAAATAGACAAATTAAAAAAAAAAAAAAGAAAGAAAATGTTAGCTTTGAGAAAACTTGATACTAAACTTTTATTTTAATTGAATTTGTGGGCGTGGGCGTCACATCATAAGACATTGAACTTTAATACCTTTTAAAGCACGGTTATTTAAAAAAAAAGGTTTAGGAAATTTTTAGCATTACACCTGTCTAGCTAATGCCCATGATCAATTCCGTCATTTCTTGATCGTCATTGGCCAGTTGACTAGTTATCGAACATAAAATAATAATCGGGTATGTGACACGTGTAATAGTAAAATAAACCCCAAAACTGCAATAACGATGTATCGTTCACTTACTAATTTTTTTTTTTTTTAATTTTAAACGAAAGCATTGAATTAAATAAAGGGATAAATTAAGTAAAATACCATCACTGAATTTTTAAATCCCGGTCGGTATTAATTTACTTCCGGTAAAAAGAACTGGTAAGGCGGGAAGAAATGTGGTTGTGTAAGTGGCATTTTTTAACTTAATTACTGATAATTCGTTTATGTATGCCATGTTAGTTTATAGATTTAGAAGTAGAAATCGTTGGTTCGGCAAAATCTATTACGAACGATATTTGTTTTTTTGGTTCAAACTAATACATTGAAACTAAGAAAATTTGTATTTAATTTAAAAAAATACTTGCAAGTGGGCAATAACTCATATCTTTTCATAAACGTGCCAAGTAAAAGATAATCCGGCCAAGAACTGAAAACAAAAAGACTGTTTCCCTAAATTTCCAAGAGAAGTGTGGATTTTTCTTTTTGAACAATTGTGGCTGTGAAGATAACCTTTCTAAACAAGTTCACGTGTCTTTTTTACAGAAACGCATTTAACAAAAAATTTTTTTGGTTAATTTGCAGTTTAGTACCCACGCTCAGTTCACATTAAAATTCCCAGAATTCTTACATTTATGTGTAATAGTATATGCTTCATTTGAATCTGGTTTGATAAATTTGATAAAATCTACTGTTCCTGGGGTTATCGATAGTAAAATTTCGGATTCATTCGCGTTGCAGGCAGCCATTACTGGCGTTGTTTGTATAGATTCGCTGCAGAAAGCCATGATTGGAATATTCAATTGTTGCGTAGTAATTAAGACAAGGTGACACTAGTAAGTTCAGTAAAAAAAAAAAAACATAAAATGCCGTTAATTACACTTTTCCGCGTTTAGCTTTCTTTGTTTTTTTATTCCGTTGCACCAGTCCTCAAGGTTCGAACAAGATCCTATAGACTTCTTTCGATGGAAGCCATTTTCAGTTATTTGTTTCAATAAGCTATTATGTAACGCCATTTTTACCTTTTCTTTTTTTTTTTTTTTTCGTAAACTACAAATAGTAAAAATGAAGGCGCTATTATATCGCACCCCCCCACATCACACTGTCAACCACACGATGTTTTTTTTAGTTTACAAAAAGCATACGAATAGGTTTCATTTTTTTTCTTAATATTTGTTTCATAATTTGTGGATTTTAATCTTGATGCATTTTATTTCTTTATATTTAATTGTAGAAACTTTTGACTGCAGAAACACATTTACAGAAGCCTTTTTAAAACCATTGCGAGTGTTTGTAAATTAAATTTAATTATTAATAATTGCAACAGTCCAACTGTTGTTATTTTAAATTTTATGAAAAACTTTTTAAAATGACTAAAAAAAAAAAAAGCTTCTTTTCATTGTATAAATTTATCTGGTTGTGCTTTACTTTTGGGGGGGGGCGAAAGTATAAAAACGATCATTACGAAATCCCATTTCATATTTTTCTTGAGTCTTGTCCTATATTCGATAAAACTCCGTTTTGACCTCGCTTAAGAGGGTGTAGATCTTTTCTGTTAATTCACCCCCCGAAATAATTTTTTTCGATAAAATTCACACCAAATTCTCTCACATCATTGCACTCCGGTTGTGTTGAAGTTTTTGATCGTCCAAAATGTAGGTGAATCTAGGGGGCGGGGTTACTTCGGTCGCACTCGCGCCGATAAATAAGCCAAAAACAGATTTTTCTTTTTTAATTTTTTTTTTTTTTTTATTGTAAAAAAATTCCTTGTAAGTTACTCGAATATCATTCATACTGTAGCGACATCTTGTTAACCGGGTATATTCGCAAACTGACTTGCACATGAATAGGCGAAATACCCTGCTAGCAATCTTTTCGATATAACGATAGACATGTACAAATGTGAACAAATCACTGATTTTTGATAATTTTTTTATTCTGATGGCTGAAGTTGTTGCGAGGCAAGCTAAACAAATTTTAATTCATAATTTCTTGGGATGAATTAATATTTGCGATAAGTAACTTTACATTACTTGAAGTGAGTTAACAGAAAACATCCGAGGCTCTTTAAGCCTATTGTTAGATTGACATTCACGTCTAGAAGTTTATTTAAATCCCATAAAAATGTTACTTGACTTCTCATCAACTTTATACTATTAGACTGAAAAATTGGAGAATATTATGACAAAAAAAATCTTTGCACATATTTGTCTATATTCAAAACCTTTTATCAGTTAAAATAATTTAGCGCCAAATGACTAGAATTTGGGCGTTGGTTTAGCAGCCTTTCTAAAAAATTACAATCATTTAACTAATTTAAGACATGCTGTTTTGTTATATAATAAGAAACTGAATTTATTTTTAAAGGGTTTCCTTATTTCTTTTCTACTTTTTTGTAAATTTTAGTGTTTTTTTCTTTTTGTTTTTTTTTTTTTTTTAAAGGAGACTTATTTTTGAGAGTCTCCCCCTTAGGAAATTTCAATCCCCACCTCCCTTATTTTTAAATAACATAGGCGTATTTTAAACTAGCTTAAAAGCAGCTCTATCGGAAGGCTCTTGATTGGGCCTTCATCACAATAGGTAGGGTTGGGTAGATGTGATAGGCAACAATAAAAGAATTCAAAATTGATCGCTGCATTGCTTCAATACAAAAGTTCAATGTTAATTCTTCTGCAACCACTTAATTTAAAAACAGTTTAATCTACATAGGTTCTTACTTTCCATACAAACAATTATTTTTATTTCATGGCTGGATTTTGCAATTAATTTCAATTATTTCCGAGTGTATTCCTAAGTTATAAAAATTTGTTATCGTACAAAAAAATTCGTCGTAAAAATCACGTAAAAAATCGCCGAAGCCAATTGCAGTAATTGAAATTTGGGAATCCAAAATGTCAGGATTGTGCGTCCGAATGTTTTTAATTTTCTTTACTTCCTCTAGGAGTAAAAAGTTGAAAATACGGACAATTTTATTTTCAAACCTTGTAATTTGGGAACAATTTTTTTTTTTTTCATTTGAAATGACCTATTGAATGTTAGTTGTGTCTCTTTATGTTGAATTAAGTGTGACACAGTAACATTCGCATTTATATAGAAGACAATTGCCGATGGAAATAACTCTAGAGTGGGGAACAGAAATTCATTTTTTTTTTTTTTTTTTTTTTTTAAATATGTTCGGTAGCATGTCACTTATCCATGTGCATTAACGTCTATTCAATAGGATTCATGTCTGAGGGATATTATTTTTTTTTTTTTTTTAATCTCCAAACACAATCTGAAATTTATCATTCTTATAAGTAGACTTTATAGCGAGACGCTTCGACAGTTGCAATGTCTATCGTCATATCGAAAAGATTGTTAACATGGTATTTCGCCTATTCATGTGCAAGTCAGTTTGCGATTGCGTATATACCCGGTTAACAAAATGATGCTATAACGTTTCTGCAACGTTATATCTATCTGTCGTGTTCCTTCGGGATGTCGGCGATCATGGCTCTCCACAACTTTTTATTCTTTGTAGATGTTAATAATGTTTGTCTTTTCGCTGTTCCTCTAAATCCCTATACAAACTTACGGCCATATAATGTTGAAATACCGGTTCTCGTATGATCACCGAAGTTAAGCAACGTCGAGCCTGGTCAGTACCAGTATGGATGGCCGTTTGGGAATACCAGGTGCTGTAAGCTTGGTTGTGAGGGTGGTGTAATGGATAATGGCTCTGAATTGCTAATCGAAGAGCAGAGTTCCAATTCCATTCTGGTTATTTATATTAAATATAGGTACCTCCACGAAATCGCTAAAAAAAGAGCATAGCTTGATGAAAAAGACGCCAAACTTGCCGAAAACTAAATTTTATTGTCTAAATGCTTATGTTATTATTAAGAGGAAAGACCAAATTTTTTTTTAATTATTTTTAAAAAAAATTTCCTTCTTTTTAGAACATTCTAAATTTTGATTAAAAAAAACACATTTTTCTATTTGTATCAGCGGAACTAGTAAATAACATAGACAATTTTTAGCACGTTTTTTTGGTATGACACACATTAATTTGAAAAATCGTGCAAAAATCGAGATAATTATCGGATGTTAATGAAACTTTCAGAAACTATTCACACACAGATGATCGAAATTATTATAAATGTTTTTTTATGAAAGTCATGGTAGAAATATTTTTTTAAAATATTTATTACCCCCCCCCATAACTAATTTTATGAAAACGCTAGAAATTCGATCGCATCGGTTTTAGTGATTACAATAATTAAAAGCACAGGGCTTTGAGGAATGCAAATCATGTTTTTTTTTTTTCGTTTTTAATTGGATACGCAGTACCTGAAAATCGGCTCTGAATTGTAACATACAAAACTCAATAAAACAAATATATTATTTAATTTCAAATGCTTTTATTTGCTTTTATTTGTTTTTATGAATATGGGACAATATTTTCTGAAAGCAAAAAAATTTTTTCGATGAAAAATGAATTTTTAATACAATTATTTATTTCATTAATTATAATAGATTTTACGTTTAAGTTGTTAAAATATTATAAAATTAGTTAAAAGCCGCATCGGCTTTCATAAGTGTCCTTATGAGATAGATCTTTTTTAGCGCGTTGTAAATTGTATCATTTTGACTAATCAGAAGATACCCAGTAATTAAGAAATGTAATTTTGTGCTTATAATCGAGCTGTAATTATAAAATACGGAAGACCAACCAGAATATAATTAAGTTGCGTTATTTGAGTTAAGCATTGTTCTCCGCTGTTAAGGCCTTTACTTTTGCGAAACACGTGTGGAGAAGTTAATTTGATTTTTCAATTTCAACTGAGAAGTGTACCTACAAGTATCAGTGTCATCTTATGAAATTTATATGATCTTAGTTTTATATTAATGTCAGTTACGACATTTTTCCATAAATGAAATATCAAAATTAATAATAAAATGAATGCAAATACAAATAACAGTAGAATGTAATAAATGTACATAAAATTATAGTATTTTATGTACAATTCTGATAAAATTTCATAAGAAAGGTACCTATAAATTAATTAGATACCTTTCTTAAGAAATATGAAATTTAATGTCACTCTTAAGTTTTATTTTAATTTCGTTACAATATATTTCTCATAAAGCATCATAAACGTAAAGTACAAAAAAAAAAATTAGACTGCTGAAAGTTTTCGTTAAAAATAACGGGGTAAATAATTTGTTCACGTAAATGTAAATTATTTCACTTTTCTCCTTCCGTAGAACAAATTAGCCTCATGGAAATCGTAAATATATCATTCATCACATGTCAAGAGACGCCAAAGTTTATGACCTGCTTTGTTTTATTTTCAAATTACATCTTTTTGGCACAAAAGCTAAGTTAAGTTTGGTTCAAAATATTTTAAATAAACATAATTTCTGATTTTCTTAAAATAAGTTTTGAAAAAATGATAATTGATATTTCAAAAAAAATTTCAAAGTCAGATTTCCAGTTTTTTTTTAAATGGAAAAAAAATGGTCAATTTTGCTGACTCAAAAAAAAACTAGATTTTTAACGAAAATTTCAGACGTGCTAGGAACGATTAAAAAATGGAAAAAAATACCCCCAAAATACTTTGACCTTTCCTCTTAATAATAACAAACATTTAGACGATAAAATTTTGTTTTCGTCAAGTTTAGCGTCTTTTTTCATCATCATGCTCTTTTTTTTTTTTTTTTTTTTTTTTTAGATCTCGTGGAGGTACCTAATTTTATATATATATATATATATATATATATATATTTATATTATATATATATATTTTTTATATTATATATATATTTATATTATTATATATATATTTTATATTATTATATATATATATATATATATATATATATTTTTTATTTTATATATATATATATTTTATATATATATATATATATATTTTAGTGGTACTATACATACATATGCTAAATCTCTCCTCCTCACTTACTCTCTCTAAATTCTTTTTTTTTTTTTTTTTTTTTTTTCGGATTTGTTTTTTTTTCTGTTTTTGAATTTGTGGGTCTGATGAATTGGATCGTATTTACGACTCCAAGTTTGATAAGCCGTAAAAAAAAACAAATCCATCAATGTCAGTCAGTTTTGTGCCAGGCGTGATATACGCTTGGCGATCATGTATCTTTCGATACATTGCTGACTTCCTGCAGTAGGCTGCTATTTCTTTCTGCGGTTGACCAGTTGCCATCCAAGGTTATAGAACCCGGTCCGGTCTGCTATTTACCCATAGCTGGTGGGAAAGAGGATTCATACCTTTCCCATGGGTATTAGCACATCGGTGAATGTAATGGATTCGAGTGGAATTTGAACTCTCCGATTCCTTAATCCGAGTCGCTATCCATTACTCCAACGTTCCTCGTCATCCATCAATAAACCAATTCCTTTTCTCTCATCTATTTATACAAGTCCGTTTGGCAGATTATTCATTGATTTTCGCTCTCTGTTTGTTTCAAGTTCTTATTTCACACTGAGTCCAAAATATTTAAAACCTTTTTGATTGTAAGTATTAATGTCCTTTTTGTTTGTTTTTTTCTTAAAACTTCCTCATTACTAGCATGTTCACTCCATGGTATTCTCAGAATTCTTCCGTAAAACCACATTTCTTTTAGCTCGACTCTCTTTATCTATAAAGAGATTGGCCAGCATTTTCTGTCATATAGGAGAAAAGAAAGGTACACGTTTCAATGGAATTTTTCAACTTTGCTTAGCTTTTAGGAGCACTTTTCACTATTTTCTTTATCGATTCTCATGGAATTTTTTCAGTTTGGTAATAACTTTTGCTTCTGCTTTTAGGATGGTTGGTCTTTTCACTATTGCAATGTTCCTTTATTCTTTTCTCTGCCTGCTATCAACACTGTGTGATTTGTATTGATCGATATCGCATTTTACGTCATTGTAACAAAAAAACAAACAAAAATGAACTTAGGCTTTTCTACTTGGTTGATTTTTTGGTTTTGGCTCTAACTCCTTCGTTTTGGTTTTTGCTCTCTTCCTTCGTTTTGGTTTTGGCCTCTTCCTTCGTTTTGGTTTTGGCTCTCCATTCTTTTGTGGATGGTTTTTTGGTTTTGGCTCTTTTCTTTTGGTTTTGGCTCTCTCCTTTCCTTTTCCTTCAAAATTCTCTCCTTCCTCGTTTTGGTTTTGGCTTTTCCTTCGTTTTGGTTTTGGCTCCTCCTTCGTTTTGCATTATTTTTCTTCGTTTTGGTTTTGGCTATCCTTCACTTTGGTTTTGGCTCTCCTTCCTTTTTGGCTCTCCTTCCTTCGTTTTTGTATGTTTTTTGGTTTTGGCTCTCCTTCCTTCGTTTTGGTTTTGGCCGTTTTGGCTAAATTCCTTCGTTTGACTCCTTCCTTCGTTTTGGTTTGGCTCTCTTTCCTTCGTTTTGGTAATTTCCCCTTCGTTTTGGTTTTGGCTCTCCTTCCTTCGTTTTGGTTTGGCAAATTCCTTCGTTTTGGAATAAAAAAATTCCTTCGTTTTGGTTTTGGCATAATCTCTCCTTCCTTCGTTTTGGTTTGGCTCTCCTTCCTTCGTTTTGGTTTTGGCTCTTTTCCTTCTGTTTTGGTTTTTTGCTTTTCTTTTGGTTTGGCTCTCCCTTCCTTCGTTTTGGTTTTGGCTCTCCTTCCTTCCTTCCTTCCTTCGTTTTGGTTTTGGCTCTCCTTCCTTCCTTTTGGTTTTGGCTCTCCTTCCTTCGTTTTGGTTTTGGCTCTCCTTCCTTCGTTTTGGCTCTCCTTCCTTCGTTTTGGCTTTGGCTCTCCTTCCTTCGTTTTGGCTTTGGCTCTCCTTCCTTCGTTTTGGTTTTGGCTTTTGGCTCCTTCCTTTCCTTCGTTTTGGTTTTGGCTTTTTGGCTCTCCTTCCTTCGTTTTGGTTTTGGCTTTGGTTTTGGCTCTCCTTTTTGGTTTTGGCCTCCTTCCTTTTTTGGTTTTGGCTCTCCTTCCTTCGTTTTGGTTTTGGCTCTCCTTCCTTCGTTTTGGTTTTGGCTCTCCTTCCTTCGTTTTGGTTTTGGCTCTCCTTCCTTCGTTTTGGTTTTGGCTCTCCTTCCTTCGTTTTGGTTTTGGCTCTCCTTCCTCTTTTAATGATCAGAAAAAAGACATTACTATCATGTAACGACAGTTCATCCCAGGCTGTCATCATCATTCTGCGCGCACAAGATTTCGCTATCAATTTGTCATGATACCAGCTATGATATTCTTCCTTCCCTGAACCATTACCTGTTGTCTGATTCCAAGAACTGTCGACAGGTGGCTTTGTGTGCTTTTAATTGAACAGGCTGTTGTATACTTTCGTCAGATAAATATTGAGCCTGATCGATATCCAACTTCAGCTTTTAACAGAGGAAGGATTTGTTTTTGGAGAACAAGAGATTTACGTGATCAGTCCGGAATGATTCCGTCCCAACTTGATTGCTAATTGATCGAAGACAGAAAATAAAATCAATATTCTAATAAACCTCTTTTTCTTTTTCTTTTTTCTTGGCGCATTTTTACGTAAAGAGCTTTTTACAAACACTGTGGTTGATAAATGTCGTGTTCTTTATCCTACGTAATACTTCAGACAGCTGGATATTTTCCGTCGATGATAAAGCCATGTTAAAAACTAGGATTTCGAATAATGATTTATTTACACAGATACGGCTACGTGGTTTATGACTCTACTCAAGTTCCT